TTGAGAAAATGTCAAACTGGGTGCCCATAAGCCCTGTCTCTACCACCCACCCGGCCTACATTTGTTCAGTGGGGCCAAATGGGTCCACCACCCGCCTAACACCTTTCGTGCCACATTCTCAAAAAGACTGCAACCATAAGCCCTGTCTCTTATACACATCTAGATGTGTATAAGAGACAGGTCCTTGGGTACATCTTCTTCACGTCCGTCTTCACCCGAATAGAGCGCCTGGTCATTATCGCTTCATCTTTGGGCCAAATGCAGCTATAATGACCGGGCGTTCTATTCGGGTGAAGACACTAGCAGGGATCATCTCTGTATCGTTCCAGTTTCAGATGTACCCAAGGACACACCTTCTTTGAACTTTTATCTCACTTAAATTTTATTAAATTTTATTTTTCAAACCACCAGTGCCAATACCCCTCCTCCAGAATTGCAGCTGTGCACAAGGAGCGTGCCGCTCCACTACTCACAACAATGTGCAAAATGAGAACGAATCTTCTGCTAGAACATGGAAAGATACGCCGCCATATTTTGTCTTTTGTGCATGTGGTGAGAAGGGGATTGAGGCCCTGAGGCCGTGTACGGCTTCTGATGTACCGGCGTGACCACGGCTGATACGATACGTAATCGATGTGCAAATTGCAAAAACTGTTGGTTCGACAAAATCGACTCGATGCCACGAATCCAAAGGCCTACCTATTAAAACTATCGTAGATTTTCGGTCACATCCACTCTGGGATCCAACAGAATTGTTCAGCTTTCTTTTTTTCTTCTTCTTCTTCTTCTTCTTTTCTTTTCTTTTTTGTTGAAGTCCAGGTTGTTGTAGAAGTTGGATGCTAGACATATGACAGTCGCCCTCGGTCATCGGCCATTTGGTTATCTGTTGAGGTCAACCCATTGGTGGTGTAGAGTCAAACCCGGTAAGGCTAAGCCAATACCTAGACCCCTTGTTGTTTACCGATAAAGTTGCCAGTGCTTTCCTGTTCAGGCAGGTCTTTTTCAAGTTTAGGCAGGTAGCTTTCCTGTTTAGGCAGGTACACTCTGCAAGCGCCTCGGGCAGTTAAACCAAGCCTCTTTTTTTTTTTTTTTTTTTTTTTTTT